TCTTTGCAGGGAATCTTGTATATGACATTGGTCCTGTCCATGGTGGGTAGTGGGTCTTTGGTTTGGGTTAGCAGTCACATGAACATCAACTGGCAACAAAAAAGACACGACCAGTACTCACTCATTTCCATCCACATGGATAAGGAGAACTACCAATTGGATTGGGACAACACCAGGATCCTGGGACAGTCAAAGCAGAGACAAGCATGGGAATTCCTAGAAGCCTGGTTCTGCACTAAGAAAGCCATCAATAAACACATAGAGCTAGACCCCATCTACACTCCATTGCGAAGGAAATCCGGAATTGAGGTAATCCAGCTCAACGGACACCAAAGTTTAAATACCAGGCAGGAAAACACAACAGCACTTCATCGGAGGCTGCACTGATGATGTTACCCAGCAGGGTAATGAAACGTCTGTGGAACAACGAACCCGGTCGGTGAACCAACCAACCACAACATCCACAACCCGAGCTACAAAAATCTACTTTAAAGATTCTCTCTATATCTGAAATACCATATAAAAATATTTCATATGATAATTCTGCACTTAAAATTCTAAATAATAATTTTCATTAATAATATTCATCACACTGTTTAATATTCTTCTCTTGTTTACTCATTAATTATTGTAAAAATACAGGCATGTACAAACAGAAAGGGCTGATGGACAATTCATATAGATTCAGAGCTGCTTTGATGATTGCTCCAACTCAAAAGCAAGTTCAGTTTTATTCTTTTCTAAGTGTCTGGGCAAGCATGATCCAAACTTAGAAAACTCTGCTTATCACAGAACTCAGTCATGAATTGCATATCCTATTCCACATATATGGGTCTGAAATGGCTTGCTGCAGTATCACTGTGGCCTTAGTGCAGCAGAAGAAAGTTAGGGAATGTGGTCTGAATGAGGCCCACAGCCAAGACAGTGAAATGACTCCTGAAATGGACTTGTCTTCATGAAATGTAGCAATCATCTGAAAAATTATTGGCCTGAAGTTGGCTAATGTCAGATTGCGTGGTATACTTGGGAGTTGAATGATTTGATTGTCTGAAATATTTGCATTTGCATAAAATTTCATGCAATTACAATGCAAAATCCAAAGCTTTTCTTCATAGAGCTGAAGTACATTGTCACATTCAGACTCCTTCAACATTACACAATCCTCCTTCAATCCTCCCTTGCAAAACAGTTTCTCTTAAATCATCAGCAGCTTGCTTTTTTGTATCATTTGTTGGTTAAGTACCTGATAAGTCCCAAGTGATGAGAAGCATTATAAAACTGTTTCCTGCAGGATCTGGCAGATTTTATTCATTTTAATGTCACTGGAATGCAATTGTGGCTTGTGCTCTTTAAATTGCTTGAATCCTCAGATACTGATATCTAGAAAAAATCCAGGTTTGGGCTAACAAGCAGCAAGTGACATTCGCACCACACAGATACCAAGCAATAACCATCTCTAACAAGAGAAAATCTAATCATCACTCCTTGACATTCAATGGCGTTACCTTTGTTGAATCCCCACTATCATTGACCAGAAACTGAACTGGACTAGCCATATAAATACAGGGGCTACAACAGCTGGTCAGAGGCTAGGCATACAGCAATGAGTAGTTCACCTCCCGATTCCCCAAAGGCTATCCACTGTCTACAAGACACAAGTCAAGACCACGATGGAATACTCCCCATTTGCCTGGATGACTGCAGCTCCAGTAACACTCAGGAAGCTTGACATTATCCAAATATTATCCCTCTATGTCTTGTTTACTGAAAGTACCACAGTTATATTGGGGATATCCCTGATTTAACTTGAACTGCAAATCTTAAACAAAAATGTGGTATACATGCACTGAGATGACAAATGGAATATTGAACCTTCTTGCTGTCATGCACTCATTGACAGGTTTGGAAAGAAATAAAGGGAAAGGGACATAAACATGCAAAACACCAGAAGAATTGCATTGCATTACTGTTGGATTTCGTTTATGACTGTAACTACCTTAATGCCTTATCTTATAGCACTAAAAACTGTATAAGAAGTTCAGAACGTATTTTATTTGTTCATGGGCTGTGGGCATTCTTGACTAGGCCATCATTTATTGCCCATCCCTAATTGCCATGGAGAACTTAGTGATAAGTTGAACCACTGGAATCCTTGCTGGTGGGCAGGGAGTTTGAGGTTTTGACCCATCAACAGTGAAGGAACAGCAACATAGTTCCAAGTCAGAATGGTGTGACAATTGGAAAGGAACTTGCAGGTCGTGGCATTCCCATGCATCTGCTGTCCTTGTCCGTCTAGCTGATAAAAGTCATGGATTTGGAAGGTGCAGTTGAAGCTATCTATGTGAATTGTTGCAATGCATCTTATGGATGATACACACTTCTGCCACTGTGCATTGGTGATGGAGGGAGAAAATGTTGAAGATGATGGATGGGATGTCAATGAAGTTAGCTGTTTTGTCCTGGAAGGTGTCAATTGTTATGAATGTTGTCAGACCTGTGTTTATCCAGAGAAGTGGAGAGTATTCCGTCACACTCATGATTTCTGCCTTGTAGATGGTGGACAGGCTTTGGGGAGGCAGGAGATGGTTTACTGGCCATAGAATTCCTAGTCTCTGACCTGCTCTGGTAGTCATATTATTTATATGACTACTCCAATTCAGTTTCTGTTCGAAGATAGGACCCAGTATGTTGAGAGTGGAAGATTCAGCAATGGTGATGGCATTGGCTGTCAAAGCATGATGCTTAGATTCTCTCTTGTTGGACAGTCGTTGCCTGACACTAGTTGCAGCAATGAAACTTCCTTGGAAGTCACACAACTAGCCTCAATAACTTATGTATGTTGTTGCTGTGGCAATATAATTTTACTGGTTACAAAGCTATGTAAAATCACATTTAAAGTACAATAGCATTCCTAAACTCATTTGAGGTCACAGGTCATTCTGACCCAAAATATTCTCATTATTTTGAAATAACACTTGTACCATCCTCTATATTATTCATTTTCATAATACTCTGATCAATTTCAAGCAAGTTTTGTACAAATCTAATTATGTTCATAAAGCAAAAGCAGAAGTTGCTGGAAAAGCTCAGCAGATCTGTGAAGAGAAATCAGAGTTAATGTTTTGGGTCCAGTGACCCTTCATAATTCTGTTCATAATTGGCATTAATTTGAAATCCACAGTTTACATTTTGCGGTTGCCAGCCTTAAGCAGGGTATTTTCCATTGCTTCCAGCTGATACCACTGAAAGAACAGCTAATTAAACCCAATTGAAACTGGATCCTTGGAAGCTAGGCCTTTTTTGTTAGTTGCATATAAAACTAGCCAACATGGTGCAATTTAGCTCGAGTGCAATTCACAATGCAATGCCGGAGTTATTGGGAGAAGGGAATAAAATGTACTATTGCTGTTGCCAAAACCATTTCAGCCTCCACAGATTGATACTTGCTCTGCACTGAGAGAAGAAGGTGGTTAATTGGTGGGTATCTGGCAAGTGATTAAAGTTTATTCTATTCCAAAGGTTCGAAATAGTATAACAGCTGATGGTAAAGTTAATGAAATATACATAAACATCACTAAGTATAAAGTTGAATAAAATAACTAAGTAATTCCTTAGAATACATTAACGATGGTGGGACAAGCAACATGTCACAGTTGCAGCATTTGGGAGCTCTTTTATACCAATTTGTTCCAAATCAAACATGTCTGTGATACGTATTTGAAACTCACTCAGCTTTGGATAAGACTTTATGAACTGCAGACTGAATTCCAGACACTGCCATGTATCAGGAAGGGGTAAAGTCAGCTGGATTCTTTGTACTGGGAGGTAGTCACACCTCTTAGTGTTGGATCCTCTGCTTTGGTGAGTGTTCACAGGCAGCAGAGTGTGGCTGCAAGTGAAGCAGGCTAGAGGAGATGGGGTGTAAGAGGAGCTTTTGAAGTAGTCTAACAGGTTTGCGGTTCTTTTAGTTTGTCTGGATGAGAGTCAGGGTTGCAGGAAAATCACAATCACCAGAAAAGTGAAACTGAGTAAATTGTTGGAGCTGTGAGTTGACAAGTCCTGGTCCTGATATACTGCCATCCTAGGATCTTAAACAAAGTGACTGGTGAGATAATTGATGCATTGGTTTTAATTTTCCAAAAATTCAAGGAAGATATCATTAGATTGAAAAGGTCAGAAGTCACACAACATCAGGTTATAGTCCAACAGGTTTATTTGACATCACAAGCTTTCAAAGCTCTGCTCCTTTGACAGGTAGGGCCACTGCACCTGAAGCTTGTGATAGCAAATAAACTGGTTGGACTATAACCTGACGTTGTGTGACTTCTGACCTTGTCTACCACAGTCCAACAGAGGCACGTCCACATCATTAGATTGAAAGACAGCGAATGTACTGATTTTTTCTCGGGGAGGGTCAGAGGCAAGAAAGACAGAAGTAGGAAAATATAGGCCAATCAACTTTTGTCATAGGGAAAATATACACTCAATTATAAAAACCGAAAGAACTGTTGTAAATTAGAAACAAACACAGAGGAACGGTACGAGGAAGGGTCACTCGACCCGAAACGTTAACTCTGATTTCTCTCCACAAATGCTGCCAGACCTGCTGACCTTTTCCAACAATCTCTGCTTTTGTCAGCTCAACTGTAAGTACGCTCCAGTTTAATGAGGACAGAAGTCACTCCTCGAACCGAGAAACACCTCGGTTTATTTCAAAGACACGTTGCAATGTAAAAGTGTGTCAGTGCTGTATTGGATTCTGTGCTGGAATGTCCGCAGTGGCATGTTGAATGCACCGCCCTGACGGGTAATGGGGAACTAAAACTTGAGCTAAGGCTGCTTCATAGTCTCTATCGAGCTGGCTTTGATATATTTGCAGCTTTGATTCAAATAATTGATCGTGTGGCTCAAAGTCTCGAGTTTGTTCTATATTTGTGCCTTTTGGGATGCCATAGTGGAGAGAAGAGCCCGGAAGCTGTCTATGATTGGCATTTGTGTCAAGAAGTGGCTCCAGTGTGTTGTGGAGGTGTAGCTGGGATGGAGAGTGATCCAGGACCTGTCCTCACACGTGATTGTTTAATCTACATCTTCACTTACCTGGAGGCTGACGATTTGAGACGGGTTTCTCAAGTGAACGAGGTAAAGAGCTGGCCGAGGGGGGTTGTCCCAAACATTGTTAGCAGAAAGGACGTGGAGTTGCGGAACTGAGTACCTAGCAATCCCGAGCCTGTTCAAAACTCCACACCGACAACAGTCAGCACCACCCTCCCCCAACACCAACACTGGGAAGCCCAAGGAAAACTGGATGGGATTGGACCTGAGAGTCGGTATTACTCCTCCCGACCTCCAGTGCCCACCCGTTTAGCACAGGAGTTCCATCTAGAAATGTTACAACCTGATTTATTCTGTTCATTTTTCTTCGGGGTGTACAACATAACCTAAGGCAAGTGACACTTGTCAAATCTTAATTTAGGAATGTCTAAGAGTTTCCAGGCTATGGATGGGAGACTGTTGCACGAAAAGATACTGTATTTATGAAAAAGAATTATTTCTAAAGGGAATTGAAGAACTCTTGGGTCGTTTACAGATTACGTTGTGCCCAATTTAAAGAGAAAACCCAGTTTAAATCTTGAGAAATCGTGACTACAACTCATTTGGACATTTTTGCCTCAAACCTAGAACGTTAATGAAATTGACACATGAAATAGGAAAGAAGCACTAACAAAACCATTTCAGTCTGAAACAAAAAAGTTACAGGGCCTGCAGCTTCCTGGATTCCAGTGATGCTCTTATTCTGTCTTGCTAACCAAAGTCACACGCAGTATCTCTGTAACTGTGACGATGGTGCATTAATCCTACTTGTATGGCTTGACCATCATTTCTGACTTGCTTGATCTGAAGTGACTGAACACCCAAAGTTAAATTCTTACCCTTGTGTTTAAATCCATTTATAGCCCCACCGCTTCTCACAGATCTCCTCCAGTCCATGTAACCCCAACTTGCAATGATTATCATAGAATGATTTAGCAACAATGGCAGGATTGATAAATCAGTTATGTAGTTTAAATAAGCAGCCACTCAAACTGTAAACCCCTGTGACCAAAGGATTCTCAGTCACCAAAATATAATCTACATTGGAATGAGCTATTATTACACTGACTTAAAAGTATCTACGTGGTTACATTTGTTCTGGAAGGTCCAAACTTGGAGTACTCATTGCAGCAAACCATAAACTATCCAAGTTGTCAAATTTGTTAACGTTCTTTGATGATGTGACCAGGAAGGTTGATGACGCCAGGGCAGTAAACATAGTCTAGATGGATTTCATAAGGCCTTTGATAAGGTTCCAAATGGTAGGCTCCTCTGGAAGGTAAAATCGCATGGAATCCAGGGAGAGCTGGCAAATTGGATACACAATTGGCTTGATGGTAAGAAGCAGAGGGTAATATTGGAAGGATGTTTAGTGGACTGGAGGCCTGTGACTAGTAGTGTGCCTCAAGGGTCAGTGCTGAGCCCATTGCTGTTTGTTATCTATAACAATGACATGGATGAGAATGTACAAGGCATGTTTAGTAAGTTTGCAGATGACACTAAAATAGGCGGAACCATGGACAGTGAGGAAGGTTATCAGAAATTGCAGCAGGATCTTGATCAACTGGGGAAGTGGGCCTAGAAATGGCAAATGGAGTTTAATATATATGTGTGAGGTGTTGCAGTTTGGAAAGTCACATCAAGGTAGGAGTTTCATGGTGAATGGTAGGGCCTTAAGAAATGTAGTGGAACAGAGGGACATTGGAGTTCAGGTGCATGGTTTTCTGAAAGTAGAGTCACAAGTAGTCAGGACAGTGAAGGCAGCTTTTAGCACACTGGTCTTCATCAGTCAGGGCATTGAGTAGAGAAGTTAGGAAGTTATGTTGCAGTTGTACAGGCCGTTGGCGAGGCCATACTTGGATTATAGTGTTCAGTTTTGGTCACCTTGCTATAGGAAGGATGTTATTAAACTGGAAAGAACGCACAAAAAATTTACAAGCATGTTGCCAGGACTCAAGGGACTGAGTTATAGGGTGAGGTTGGACAAGCTAGCATCTTTTTCTTTACAGTGTAGGAAACTGAGGGGGGATCTTATAGTAGTGTATAAGATCATGAAAGGCACAGATAGGGTGAATGCACTCAGTCTTTTTCCCAGGGCTGGGGAATCGAGGATTAGAGGACATTAGTTTAAGGTAAGAGGGGAAAGAATAAATGGGAATGTGAGTGCCAAAATTTTACATAGAGGGTGGTACGCATATGGTGTGAGCTGCCAGTGGAAGTAGTTGAGGCGGGTACATTAATAACATTTAAAAGGCATTTGGACAAATACATGGATAGGAAAGGTTTCTAAGCATATGGGCCAAGAGCAGGAAAATGGGGTTAGCATGGATAGCATGGACCAATTTGGGCTGAAGGGCCTCTCTGTTTTGTAGGACTCTATGACTCCATAAATTAATAGATTTTCTCCTTTAAATTCAAACCCTGACAGAGAATAAACAGTTGATATCTTGTGATTACAGGCTTGGAATGATGCTGCAGAAACACCCTGGCTGTGGAGGTAAGACCAGACCATTGCTGTCACGTGCATGCTCTGTTGTGCCCGCATTTGTGTAGTACCTGTCACGATGCCAGGAAATCCCAAGGCAATTTACAGTGAATAAGGTGAAGTCACTGTTGTAATGCAGGAAATATGATGAAACAAATCACAGTGTAATATTATGTTGAATGTTGATGTTTGAGGAATAACTTTTGATCAGGAGGAACCAAGCTGTTCTTTGAGTTGGTGCCACAGGATATTTTACATCTACCCAATAGGTTAGATAGGGCCTTCGACAAAAGGTGGCCTTTTTGCTAGTGCATTCCATCTCTGAGCACAAATTTACTTCTTGTACATCAACAACATCCTCACTAAACCCCTTGTCATCCAGCACCCCTTCATGCTCCCAATATCAGTTAATATTGTAAATGATTTCTCCTATATCTCATACACTTTCAAAAGTTTTTTATTTATTCATTCACAGGATATGGGCATCTCTGGCTGGGTCAATATTTATTGCCTATCCCTAATTACCCAGAGGGCAGTTAAAAGTCAATCATATTGCTGTAGGTCTGCAATCACACGTAGGTAAAGACAGCAGTTTCCTTCCTGAGAGGTCATTAGTGAACCAGATGTTTTTTTTCCCGACAATCAACAACAGTTTCATGGTTATCATCAGCCGCTTAATTCCAGATTTTTATTGAGTTCAAATTTCACCATCTGCTATAGCAGGATTCAAACCTGAACCCCCAGAACATTACCAAGATCTCTGGATTAATAGTCCAGAGATAAATACTACTAGGCCACTGCCTCACCTACCGTGAGCTATCATCCTTCCTCGTTAAATACTATGCTTGACCCCTCTGTTCTGACAAACTATTATTTCCATTTCCAAGCTCTTCTCAGTCTGAAGTTAGTGAATGGACTGTTGCCTACTAAATCTATGTACATATTTCCAATCAGGTTTTTGCATCTCCCGTAGCCAAATGTATAAATTAAGTGAGATAACAAGGTGTAGAGCTGGATGAACACAGC